ATTGTACAGTGGCATTAAGTGCCGTAATGTGCACATCTGCCTACCCCATCGGGGATAAAAAGGCGTGATGTTATGTTATGTATGTTATATTATGTCTGGGTTAAGACAGTAGATCATATAAGTTCCTAAAGAAGTTAAGAATTATATTATAACATTTTAACGGTTCTTTATTTCTTCTGAAATGAAAGTAAGTAAAGATAAACCTGAAATATTTCATTTACTGACTGCCTCATTGGCCAATAGGTCGCAAGTACGACTGCCGGGCAAGGGGTCTTGGGTTCGATCCCCGGGTCGGGCAAAGTATTACTGGGTTTGTAACAACCTCAGTAGGAGCACGGAGTCTGGAAATGTGCCCAGTATATGGCAATAGGCCCACCTCCATGGCATTATATGGGACTCGTAACATAAATAATGAAAAGTGGGTGTTACATTGTACAGTGGCCTTAAGTGCCGTAAAGTTCATCTCTGCCTACTCCTTTTGGGGATAAAAGGCTATAAAATGCCCTTTTATATGCATGTTGTGTATTTCATTTATTGACAGTTTGTAAAAAAATATGTTTATTGGTGAAGCCAAAGAGAGATGTAGGAATCGTAGTAATTGGCGTTCCATAATCCTCTGCTTACTCCCATTGGAGACAGGCGTTAAGTTATTTATTTATATGAATAGAACGGTACAAAAAACCAATTACATTACTCAATACATAACATATATAATTGAAAGAATCAATACATTTAAAAACGTAATCATTATTAGATACTATAGTTCATTTATCTCTTTCGCAAAATAATAATCTTCTCTATGTATGTATGGATGTATGTATGCATATTGTCAGTTTGGTGTAGCTAGCATATGGAGGACGAAGTCATGGAATTGGGATGATGATAGGGTATGAAAATTTAAAATTTAATTAGTCCGTAAGTAAGGTAATGAAAAAATATTAGACACGTATTTTTTTATTTTGTCGTATAATAAAACAATACTTAGATAAAACGAATCAAAGTTTAAGAGTAGCGGCTAAAACGTAATTTCTACGTAAAAATGTACATAGAAGTGACGTCACAATATATCGTCGAAAGTATTCGTTTCTGTAAAAAAAAATAAAAAATACGTGCGTAATGTTTTAAAATAATTTACCAGACGGACATTAAAATAAAAAATAGTCATCTATCCTATTCACAAACCTTATGTTCCTATAGCCTTCTAAAACCCTTCAAGGAATAAAAGATAGAAGAGTTACAAAGAAAATGAAACTTAACCAGGGTCAACAACTCACCTGAATGACTCCCCCACCAGGACTATCGTTCTTCTCATTAAGGAAGCAGTCAGGTAGACCCAGCAGCTTGCCCAGCCAGTTCATTGCTATCGTCTCCAACTCCGTACCAGCGGGAGAGGATGCCTGTTTAAAGGAACAGAGACTATTATTTACAACCTGTATTGTTTAAAGAACATTTAAAATGAATGGTTGTGTACGATCTCCCTGCGAACCTGATTGAAAAAGAGTAACCTGTGGAGTTCCTTGCTCGTTCTTCTCCATAGAAATCTACGCCTTGCAATAGCTTTACTTTTAATTTTTTGTTGACGTGTTTTTATAACAACTATCGTGAGACATAGTAAATTAACTAAAAATCGCGGATTACTCGCGTGAATATACTGATAAAAGCTCTACTAGTTTCGGACCACAGAGGGGTTCTTCGTCATGCGCAGCGTGCGCGGTCGTGGCGAGAGCAGACTGCGCGACATCGTAGAGTAGAGCTAGTAGAGCTTTTCTCAGTATATTCACATGAGTAACCCGCGATTTATAGTTAATTTTTGTTGACGTTCAAAAGTGCCTTTCTGGTTTAATTGAAATAAATGATTTGGACTTTGACTTTGACTTCTCTTTTGGTCAAACGAATCTTCTTTTCTTGTACACACAAACATATACATCAAATGCACACAAAAGTTTAATACACAGATGCCCGAATATTGAAACGACACTCAATTTTAAGTCGCGCTTAAGTATAGTTCTGTCTCTACACATTCTTTGTAAAACGACAGAGATGCACGATATTTAAGTACAATTTAAATTTGAGTAGCCTTTCAGTATTTGGGCCCTAAGTTCTTTAACAATCATTAGTTACATAGTAGCTGACAGTTGAACTCATATTTCATTTTTAATAAAAGTTACTCCACAATTGGATTTTCCACTGTGTCATCGTTCAAAATGTGTTCAAAATCAAAAAGTTAAACCCTTAATCACAGACTTACAGACTTTAACTTATATTCTTCTAAACCTTTTGCTTATCAGCACTTAAACCAATTACCAACACCCTCTAAAATAATACCTATAGTAGGGGAGCCCACGATGCTAAATTGGGATTTACTTGAGCGTCCTCGGGACCTACTGGATTTTGAAGATATGCTGATAGAAAGAAGAAATGGTTTAGTGACAATTTCTTCCACCAGTGGGGGAAGGGGGAATCTACAGATCTTTGAAATTGTTAAGCGTAACTTTTGTTCTAGTGGTCGAGCGTGTCAGATATTGATAATGTACATGCTCCATGTGTATTTAATAATAAAAAACTCTTAATCTGCTAGTTTGCATGGTGGGGTTGAATGTTCTGGAGAGTACAAACGAGAACCCTTCAAAATCCCCCCACTCTTGCAAATCAAGTTGGAATGGGCAGATTTTTTAAACGCACTTCCTTTAGCACGGTATTGACCTACCTTCCCTTAATCTGACGAAACTGACTTTATTTAGTCAGACTTTTTTTTAAATTTTCAGTCCCCCCCTTCTGATCAGATCGGATATATGTTGGGTATATTCAACATGACACTAGGTTTTCCCCATATGTTAATCTGACGCGCTCGAGTAACTACCGAAATCCCTTCATGGGCTCCCCTACTACTATGATTCATCATTCGTCATCAACAGCCTTTAAGTCACCGCTCCTGACCAAAGGTCTCTTCTCACACGGAAAAGTTTAGACCATTAATCACCACGCTTGCTCAATGCGGAATGGCAATTTCAACGTTATATTTAGAAATTATAAGCCCAGATTTCCTCACGATGTTTTCCTTCACCGTTTGTCAGTGGTGTCTGAATAATCTTAGAAAGTACATATACCTCGGAAAAGTCACATTGATACTTTGCCGTTGGTAGGTTTCGAACACGTATCCTCGAGTATGAGATGTCAAGAGCAAGAGCATCTTGGACCTCTGACGACGATTAGGTACATTAAGTATGTATAATTCATTCTTCAAATCAAATCATTTATTTCGGTTGCAAACATGGGTTATAAAATATACAAAAGATGTTTAATATTTATGGAATGGTTCTCCACATTTTGCCATTATGGCATGCAAGTATTTCCTAATTAATTTATCTACAAGTTTAACTTACACAACCACATACAATATACATTACAAATAAATTAAGAATTGAAATAATTATAATTATTGAATGTCAAGAAAGATGAAATTAAAGGTATCATATTATTAATAAGTCAGTAAGTAATTATTAAGAAAGTCGTCAATATTATAATAGCACTAACGGACCCAACAGACGTTGTCCTGCAGATCCACTCGAATGTATAAAAAAAAATTCATTCAAGTTAGTTCAGCTGTTTAGGATAAATAACCTAACATCGACTGCAGCGCCATCTGCCGGGCTGATTTGTGAAACTAAACCATTCCCAAATCCCCTTGAACACACACAAAAATTTCATAAAAATCGGTCCAATCGTTTGAGAGAAGTTCAGTGACATATACACTCACAGAAGAATTATATATATCGTATCTCCGGTGCTATACCGTCACTTATGTATTGCGCGCGCAACTGAACAATGAAACGTTGTTTTTCTTAGTGCCGTCCAGATTAGCGCCAAAACCGTAACGACAGTAATGCCCTCACAATGTCAGTTTGCGTACAACACAAATGACAATAACGCACCAAGTAAAGAGGTGAATTTGGAGTATTCTTTCATAATCAGTTAAGTTTTGACAAAACTTGCATAAGTGACGATATTGCACCGTAGGTGCGATATATAAAGATTTGTCAAGAAAAAGTTCTTTTAGCGTCTTGTTAAATTTTATACAGTCATACTTTTCATATTCTTGATTGGCTCCGTTGTCCAAAATGTGATAGAAAACCGGCATTGCGTGTTCTTTCGGCATATATGTGAGCTTCTCAGTGGACATCCTCCCACCATAATTGGGTACTTTCCGACAAGTCAAATTCAATACTTTTTTCGAACTGTCAAAAACGACGACAGTTTTCTATGAATTTTGTACGAGATTGTGTATTGTGACGTCACGTTTTTTCAGCGTCAAACAGCATACTTATTTGAACAAATACTTATATTAAATTAGTCATAAAATCAATGAAAGTGTGATTATTTTTCTTTTTTGAATGGTATTGTATTCAACAGGCGAAATAATTTACTTTTGATCAAGGAAAGCACCCAATTACTATGTTTTGCTTTCACATCCTTCACCTTTACTTTATCTACTTACCCAAGTGAAACAGAGTACGTTCAGAGCGCTGGACAGCATCTCCCCCATGATGGAGGGGTACGAGGTCAGCGCCGGGAAGTAGGCGTGCATGTGAGGGCTCTGCCAGTGCACCAGCTGAGGATAGAGAGGAATTGAGTCGAACTTATACACTATTCGTAGTTACCACTATCCAGAATAATACATTCATATTTTATTGTTAAGCGAGCTGTTGCCCGTTACTTCGTCTGCGTAGAAAATGAATTTTAGAACAAAACTTTATTGTTTCAATTTTCCAAAATAAAAGTAGCCTATGTTACTCCTTAGTACATCAGCTACCTGCCAATAAAAGTCTTGCACAATTGGTCCAGCCATTCCAGAGATTAGCTACAAACAGATAGACAGTCAAATAATTTTTTTTTAAAGACCCAGTAGTACTTTCGTAAGGAATCGAACTCGAGACCCCTTGCCCAGCAGTAGCATTTGCAGTCTTTCTAATCTAAAGAATCGTAAACAGATCTTTAGGGTAGATCTTTTCTTATATACCTCTACATAAGACTCAATTCTTTGTTGTTTTGTATGACTTAAAGACATTTAAAAAAATCATTATTTAAATTTCACTTACTCCAGGCATAATATGCTCATCAACATCCTTGAAGATTTCATCCCACTTCTCAGGAGTTTGGGGAGCCTCCTTGGGCAGCAGCTTGTGAAGGTACCCTGGCTGCACGCTGGGGTACACGCGGCGGTCTCGGATGTTCTCCAAGTAGTCGGCTATGTAGTCCACCATCTCTTTGGCTGAGTACGAAAAGAATAAAACAAATTACAATTCTGTTGTTTTGTCACCGTGTTGACTGAGTTGATCTTGTATTTTTACATATTGTTATCAGATAAAATGAATAAATTACTGTAGCGGTTAGTTAGTAGTAAGTGTATCCTACAAGCCTATATATTTATGCATCGCGAAGGACACTCCGGGCGTCGGGGATAGCGGGACGATCTCCGGTCACCGTAAGCGCGAGCCTGTGGACGGCGAGCATGGGTGAGAACCAGACCCGAGCGCACGGCGCTTCGCGTTCCGCGCGCCTCAAAGAGCCATCAGACCACCACGGATGGGGCCCAATAGGGTTGATGCCGATACGGAGCCGCGGAGAACCTAACGGGTTACCGGGGCTCCGGCTCGAAGTGCAGAAGTAGGAACGGGGTGGTTTTTAGTCAGTAAGAGTCTGACACTCCCTCCCGCCTCACCCAGGCGGGAGCAGTCATTCGATGATTTTTCCTCCTTAAAAAAATCCTATATTTATAAATGCGCAGTAGCAGGACGTATGTCACTCGTTGCTCGATCTTTATGCTAAATACACTATGTAAGTTCAATGGTACAAATGCTTTCATTTATCGTCTGATCTAAACACATAATATACATAACACCTACATTACTATATCTTGAGGTATATCTATACTTCTATACTAATATTATAAAGAGGAAAGATTTGTACCTATTTTTGTATGTTTGTAATGAATAGGCTCAAAAAGTACAGGGCCGATTTAAAAAAAATCTTTCACCAATAGAATGCTACATTCTTCCAATTTGACATAGGCTCTACATTTCATTTTGAAAAAAGTTAGGGATCCTTGGTTAAATTTGAACAATGTAACCGAAGGTGTAGAAAAATGAGTCTTATAATGTCTTTCGTCGAATGCGCTGCCGAAACTATTAGCGATAGAACAAAATAATGTACAACAATATTGAAGAACATCACAATGTCTACAAAAAACTCCGCGGTAGCATATGTCCAACTATTGTAGTTATGTCACTACAACAATCGAAATTTCCAAAAATAAATATAATTAACTACCCCGTGCGAAGCCGGGACGGGCTGCTAGTGACTTATAATTTAATTTCAGGTTACGACTGAAATTATAAACCGATGTTCTCCATTTTTTAAAGTAAATCGACTGATTTTTTTTTCAAAATTCTAACCCTGGTCATGAAGAAAAGTCACCCTTATCGTTAGCCATAATAGGGTAGATGACTAATTTTTATTTTAATGTCCGTCTGATAGATTATTTTAAAACATTACACACGTATTTTTTATTTTCTTACAGAAACGAATACTTTCGACGATGTGTTGATTTGAAATGTTGCGTGACATCACTTCTATAAATATTTTATACATAGAAATGCTGTTTTAGCTATCTACCTACTCCTAAACTTTGATTCGTTATAATATCTAAAGTATCATTTTATTATTTTTTCATTACATAAATGACGGACTAATTACATTTTTAATTTTCATACCCTGTCATCATCAATATTATCAAACACATTATTTTCCTATGAATAATTAAAGAATTATAAACTACGATTAAAGAATCCGACTTCAACCTCAATTTTTGAAGTCGGTTAATTAATATGGGTACTGAAACCTTCTCCTAAGTATACACAAACACTTCTATCTACAAACAGCATCAAAATCAGTTCAACCAATCGCAAAGTTTTTGCGTGCAATATACCTCTATTACATACATACCGACCATGTACCAACCGGCTATGTATGTATGTGTGTATGTATGTATATATACCGGTATATACATGTCTGGGTGTCATGTGTACGTGAACTTGTATGTTTGTAAACGCACCCACGACACAGAAGAAAATACTAATATGGGGCAACGTTTATTTAAAAAAAACTGAGCACCTCCGTTTTCTTTCTAAAGTCGGTTAAAAACATTCAATTTCATTATATAGAAACAAACAACCGAATTATTAATGAAGCCATAAAAACGAACTACAAAATGGACACCGAAGAATATGTACCATCCACTACATTTTACATACGAGTAAGTAATTATTCTCAAGAAAGAATTAAAACCAGAAAAAAACAAAAGTACTTCTAAAAGGTCTATCATGGCGCACAAAAGAAGTTGATTGTGGACACTGGACGCAGTTGTGTCCTTTGTGTACGTATTTGTAAACAGTGTCACATCTGAGGCCTTAGTACGAGTTTAATTTATTTATTTATTTATATCAGAAAACAGCTAATTTAATCTTCACAGGTACTTAGCCTAATACGACAAAATTAGTTACATAATATAAAATTTCAAAATTCAAAGTTACCTCTACATTATAAATACGAAAGTTACATTATACCTACATATGAAATCTAAACATAATATCACAAAAAAAAGTACCACTACTAAAGTTTTAAATACTAACCATACCATAGGTGGCTCTTGTGAACTCATTCAGCGAACAAGTAAACAAATCGACCCTACTCGACACTGCGTTGAGCGTGCGCAAGGCGCGCGTCAGTGGCGCTCGCTGCGGCAGGTTGGTGCGCGCGCTCGGCACCGCCAGCAGCTGCGGCCGCCGCGTTTAAAGTACCTAATCGTAACGCGTTCGCTGTGATTGGTTGATTCCTTGGCGCCGGCCAATCAGAATGCCGAACGCGAACTCGTTTCGAATACTTTAAACGTAAATCTAACTCGTACTAAGGCCTCTGATAGATTTTCTTCACATTTTTGAAATTGTAAAAGGATTTTTAAGTCATTTTCTAGTCACGTTACCATTATAATACCTAAGTCCAAAAATTATTATGAGACGTAAGTACCTGATCTGACTGCCTCGTTCGCCGAGCAGGTCGTCTTGGGTTCGATTCCTGGGTAGGGCAATGAATTGCTGGGTGTTTAAAAAAATTCTCTGTAGTAGCACGGAGTCGGGAATTGTGCCCGGTATATGGCAATAGCTCACTCCTTATTACATGGGACTCGTAACATAGATAGTGAAAAGTGGTTGTTACATTGTACTGTGGCATTAAGTGCCGTAATGTCTCACCTCTGTCTATCTCTTCGGGGTAAAAGGCGTGATGTTATGTTATGTAGTACTTAAGCAAAGAATGGTCATATCTCGATAATAATCAAGTTATTATTAATGTAAATATAGAAATATTTAGACTTTGTTTAAGTAATGATATTATTTTGTAATCTAGCTTTTTACACCAAACAAAATTCTTATTATTTATTTGTAATATTAATTATTTTAATTTTGATTAACATAATACTACTTTGCGACTATTAATATAAAAACAACTTAAAATATAAAAAATAATGCCTTCACCCCCTATTACATGGGACTCATAACATAAATAGTGAAAAGTGGGTGTTACATTGTAAAGTGGCATAATGTGGACCTCTGCCTACCCCTTCGGGGATAAAAGGCGTGATGTTGTACTGATTTTTTTAAGATGTAAATATTTTAGTTTTAAATTATTTATTTTATATATTAACTATTGGTTTTCAAATCTCGGTGTCTCAAATTATTTAGACACCATTGACAAACAGTGAAGGAAAAAATTGGAAGGAAACCTGGGCTTATAATTTCTAATTATAAGTCTGTAATCGCCAAGAGAACCTTCTCTGTGTGATTAGAGGCTTTGCTCAGCAGTGGGCATTTATAGGCTGTTGATTTAAATCTCGGTGTGACTTGAAACTATTAGAGGTGTTCTCGAACTGTTTACAATAGTCAGTGACGTCATCCATAATAATTAATTAGACAATAGGGCTGAATATGGTCTAATTGTCACACCAACATCTATTACAATCATTGTGAGGAATCAGAAAGCTAAGCCTTTATTAAGTTTGGTCAAAACTCGACACCAATTCTACATAGGAATCTATAGGTATAGGAAAAGAAGATAAAGATTTCATTGTGCATAAACACACAAGCCCAGCTAGTATGTATAACATGTGAATAAGTCTAGAATTTCCATACATTATGGCACCTACACTATCTGCACTATCCATTACCAGCACAAATAACACAATTTGTCCTTAAAAGCCAATATCCCAGTTATCAATAAAGTCACACCCATAAAAAAGGATTTACCCTAACTGGTATAAACCAGTATAAAGCAGAATGAGCCGGTTACAACCGGATTGAACCGGATCAAACGATACAATATCGATGCGTGAACATGTGAAATGAGGGAACAGTGATTTTATTTTATTGGTTCTGTTGATTCAAGATTGTGATGTAGATTTGCGTGTGGGATTCGATTCTGGTGGTATTGGACAGTTTAGTTTCGTTAAATATTTATGGTTTTAAATTTTAAAACTACTAAACATGGATAAAGCTCCGTGCTGTGTCGCCTTTAGCAACTATTGAAACTTTTATCTATATCTCACTTATCTCACATACATATAGTGCAATTAATTAAAAATTGAGAATGAACCTGTTACCAAATATATCAATGTTGAACATTAAATTTTTATTAACTATTTTAACTAGTCTTACGTTGAATTGATGGTCAAATTTATAACCCTCATTGACAAAACCAGCAGCTGTAGCCAAATGCCATTTAGCGCTTGTCTAGATGTAGAATAGAAAACCAAATTATATGGGATTAACGTAAATTTTGACATTTGTCAGTGTCATTCCCGTACATTTTGATTGCTACTTTCTCTGGCTGCAGACCCAGCAGCTGGAGGGTAAAGGCCCTGGGCCTCTACTTCAATTCCCTATAATTTGGTTTTCTATTCTACATGTAGACAAGCGCTAAATGTCATTTGGCTACAGCTGCCGGATAGATAGCTGCGAAGCTTTGATGAAACCGTAGATATTTAATATTTCTGTGGATGAAACAGACTGCACGACAAATGCACTGACGTCATATTTTACTCTTTACGTCATCGTTGAAGTAACAAGTGACGTAAGGGTGTGGTCCTACTGAGAGCGTTCAGCGATTTTTAAGATAGCTTTTATAATATTAATAAAAGTACAACCGACTTCCATGTCAAATAATAATAAATCAAAATAGAAGTTGGTTAAAATTCCCTATCTCGAAAACTACTGAAACGATGACTGCACGGTTGGTACGGTGGCTGGGCAATCAGCTGCCGTGCAACGTGTCGCGGGTTCGATTCCCGCACGGAACAACACTTTGTGTGATCCACAAATTGTTGTTTCGGGTCTGGGTGTGATGTGTATGTGAAATTGTATGTTTGTAAACGCACCCACGACACAGGAGAAAATCCTAGTGTGGGGCATTGCTTAAAAAAAACTGATTTATTCAGACACTGATATAGACCAACATATATGAAAAGTGGGCAGTTCAGAAAATATTACATACATACGGGTCAAACTCCTTCTTTTTGAAGGCGGTTAAAAAGTAGCGTTAAACTATTCGCTGCAGATAGACCCGATACTATCTCTATTTCTAATTTTTTTAATATCAACAACGGGCATTTTCTTTTTTAATGAGACGAGCCCGCCACAACCTCCCAAAACCGCTGTAACTCCTGTAAGCCAGGATCTACAGTAGATACAACCATGAACACACCGGAACACTGAAGTCTAACGCGTGCCAGAAAAATGAAGAACTGTTTTGTTTCCCGCAACGAAATAAAGCAGAAGATGGTATTAGAGGAGAAGAAGAAAACGATAGTTTCCACTTCCCTCGGAGGAAAACTGCAAGAGACAGAACAATTTCTAAAGGCACAAAAAGGCAATGAGCTTGCAACTTCTCTATTGTAGCGGGTATTCGTGGGCAGCATCGATTGCTTACCATCTAGTGACCCATCTACTCGTTTACCGACTTATTCCTAAAGCCTAATAGTATGTTAAAATTATGTTTTCATACAAAAGTACTTTTCGATAAAGAACTGTCAAGTGTGGGAGACCCATGCTTCGGCACGAATGGGCCGGCTCGACCGGAGTGATACCACGGCCTCACATAAAACCGACGTGAAGCAACGCTTGCGTTGTGTTTCGTTGTGTGAGTGAGGTTACCGGAGGTCCAATTACCCTCCCGTTCTCCAATCTCCCCAATTCCTGAATATTCAGTGATCCTCAAACTCCTAATCCCCAAAGGCCGGTCACGCACTTATAATGCCTCTGGTGTTCCAGGTGTCCATGACCGACGCCGATTGCTTACCATCAGGTGATCCGTCTGCTCGTTTACCGATTTATGCCATAACAAAAAAACTATTTTTTTGCAAACCTCTATGGATTCATTCAGATATAAATAATAATATATTACCAAAGTGTAATGGAAATACAATGTTTATATAACCACATTCATCATCATCATCATCAACAGCCTATAAATGCCCACTGCTGAGCAAAGCCTCTTCTCACACGGAGAAGGTTTGAGCATTAATCACCACGCCGGCTTTTGAGCCGCGGGTTGGCGATTTCAAACTTATAATTAGAAATTATAAGTCCAGGTTTCCTCACGATGTTTTCGTTCATCGTTTGTCAGTGGTGTCTAAATAATCTTAGAAAGTACACATAACTCGGAAAAAGTCACATTGGTACTTGCCGTTGGTAGGTTTCGAACCCATACCCTCATGCATGAGAAGGTCTTGAACTTCTGGGCCACCACGACATCCAATAACCGTATTAAATTAATGATAAGCAATTGGTAATTACGCCTATTTAATATTCTGATGGCGTACGAAATAATGTAATATAATAATACGCAGTTTCTAAGTATATACTAACCTACGTAGGTAGATATAAAAGAAGTAATCGCAGTAAATAATAGTACAATTATTATATAATTATTGATCGCAACTATATTTTTATTTGAAGGTTAATTATTGTAAATAATGTAATGTAATTGGTAGTATTTTATTTACTGATAGTGTAGGCTTTAAAATTAGTCACATAACATCACGCCTTTTATTCCCGAAGGGAAACAGAGGTGCACATTACGGCACTTAATGCCCCTGTACAATATAACACCCACTTGTCACTATATATGTTATGACTCCCATGTGATAGGAGGTGAGCATATTGCCATATACTAGGCACAATTCCAGACTACGTGCTACTACTGAGATTTTATTTAAAACCCAGTAATTCTTTGCCCGACTCAGGAATCGAACCCGGGACCCCTTGCACTTGCGAACCGAACACGGCCAACAAGGCAGTTTAAAATAAATGTTTTTTTTTTAACCTAGCCGCACACTAGGATTTTCTCCTATGTCATGGGTGCGTTCACAAACATACAATCTGTGGATCACACAAAGTGTTGTTCCGTGAGCAACACGATGCGCGGCAGTCAGATGCCCAGCCACCGCGCCAACCGTGCAATCACAATATGTGAGGAGAAGAAAAATTGAGTCACTCACCCTTGACTCTGAATTCTGTGTGCTCCATTATGTAATGTAGATTACTGTAAGACCTGCAACAAATAAGAAAATTCGGTTATCATAAAATAATTGTAATCTTGCTTGACCATTTCATTGCCCACATATGAATTGCGCAATTGGCCAAAGGTTTTTTTTGGAATAGGAGGCAAACGAGCTGACGGATCACCTGATGGTAAGCGATCAGCGCCGCCCATGGACACCCGCAACACCAGAGAAGTCACAGGTGCGTTGCCGGCCTTTTAAAAAGGAGTACGCTCTTTTCTTATAAATATATTTTTCATATTTTTTATGGAATAGGCCGTCGCTTACCGGCTTATCCCATCGGATAGACGGATCACCTGATGTTAAGCAATTGGCGTTGCCCATGGACACATTAAACACCAGTACAATTGCGTTACCGGCCTTTTGGCCATTAGGAATTTGAAGATTGTTGGGGATTCAGGGATTGGGGAGATTGGGGAGTGCGATAATTGGGCCTCCGAAAACCTCAATCCCACGACGAAACACAACGCAAGCGTTGCTTCACGTCGGTTTTCTGTAAGGCTGTAGTATTACTCCGGTCGAGCCGATCCATTCGTGCCGAAGCAAGGCTCTCCCGCACATAAAATTATTTAGTATAAATATATATTTCTTGGGAGTATGAAATCGTACTTAATATAATTAGTATGGTTGCTTCCATTAGGATTTTAATGATGTTATAATTTTTGTTTTGGATGTATTTTTTTTTATGGTATAAGCCGGTAAACGAGCAGACGGATCACCTGATGGTAAGCAATCGGCGACGCCCGTAAACACCTGGAACACCAGAGGCATTACAAGTGCGTTACCAGCTTTTGGGGGATTAGGAGTTTGACGATCGTTGGGGATTCAGGGATTGAGGAGATTGGGGAAGGGGAGAATAATTGGGCCTCCGGTAACCTCACTCACACGACGAAACACAACGCAAGCGTTGCTTCACGTCGGTTTTCTGTGAGGCCGCGGTATCACTCCGGTCGAGCCGGCCTATTCGTGCCGAAGCATGGTTCTCCCACACTTAGAATGTGTTTTTAGAACTCTTTAATTTTTATCATAGTTGTAATAATTTATGACCATTTCATTAATGAATTAGCAATGATTACTTTCTTGAAGACACAGTAACTTTTAAACAAAACCATTCAAGAAACAACAACAATAACATCAACTGCCTATAAGTGGCCACTGCTGACCAAAGCCTCCTCTCACACGGAGAAGGTTTGAGTAATAATCACCACGCTTGCTCAATGCGGGTTAGCGATTTATAACTTATAATTAGAAATTATAAGCCCAGGTTTCCTCACGATGTTTTTCCTTCACCGTTTATCAGTGGTGTCTAAATAATCTTAGAAAGTACATATAACTTGGAAACAGCCACATTGGTACTTATCGTTGGTAGGTTTCGAATTCACACGCCTGTGCATGAGACGCGGGCGACTTAAACTTCTGCGTTTCAAGAAAACCACTTCATTTTTTCCCAAACACTTCCTACCAGAACAAGACTAAGAAAAATGACTTAGAAACAACAGTCAGAAGTGAAAATTTTCATCGTAATTCATTGAAAGTAGTGGATAAAGAGTACAATGTAGTATCGACGTATGTTGTACGGCTTCATAAATGTCTGACGAGCCGGATTATCGTATTACCCTATGCGGTTACAGTAACTACACCGAATTCGATAGTTTTCCACTAGTTTTCAAGAAAATTGTGGCGGTAAAGGAGAATATATTAATAGTTACTAATGAAATTAGACTAGAAAACAAAGAGAACGTAGATTCTGTAAGAGATTCAATGAGAAAATCTATGTTTTTATGTTTTTTCATAAACTATGTTTATAAAAACAGACATCAACCCCTCTCTTTTTTCGCGGAGAACCTAACGGGTAACCGGGGCTCCGGCTCGACGTGCAGGAGAAGGAACGGGGTGGTTTTTAGTCAGTAAGAGTCTGACACTCCCTCCCGCCTCACCCAGGCGGGAGCAGTCATTCGATGATTTTCCCCCTTAAAAAAACCCTCTTTTTTTGAAGTCGGTTAATTGTAATACACTTTTCAGAAAACTGCATCGAAAAAGGTTTACCCAATTATGAGATAATTGCGCCCAAACATTCATACCCATATATCCCCAAGCGGTCACCGGTGACCGCTCTCCACTAACTACATTATAGACCTAATTTCCAATGTTTAGAGACTACTTTTGTACTGTATGTATGAACAAATTTAGGGGATGGTTTTCAACGGGTGTATATACATACAGATAAAACAGAGAACATCCTTCTTTTTTGAAGTCGGTTAAAAAGAAGGATGTAGTTTAGTAAGTATTGATGTGGATTGTGGACGAACCGTAAGAATTGTAGCAATTGGTAATTCATAGAGAGACTGTGGAACGCCAATAGGGATAATGACAGGGTATGAAATTTAAAAATCTAAGTACCTAATTAGTCCGTCAGTTAGGTAATGAAAAAATAATAGACACGTATTTTTATTTTGTCTTATAAGATAACGATACTTAGATAAAACGCATCAAGGTTTAGGAGTGGGAGCTACGTCATTTTAGAGTATAAATCGTACTCAAAAGTGACGTCATGTGATATTTCAAATTAAAATATCTTCGAAACTATTCGTTTCTGTAAGAAAATATATACGTGTCCAATGTTTATAAATAATCTACCAGACGGACATTAAAATAAAAATTAGTCATTTACCCTATTGCTACGATTCTTACATGGTATACCCCACAGAACATATAAAGGAGATTTCTATGTTCTGTGGTCTACCCCCATAGGAGACAAGCGTGAAGTTACGTACGAATGTATGAATAAATGAGTGTAATGTCAATAGGGTAGATGACTAATTTTTATTTTAATGTCCGTCTGGTAGATTATTTTAAATTATTACACACGTATTTTTTATTTTCTTACAGAAACTAATACTTTCGACGATATATTGATTTGAAATGTCACGTGACGCCACTTCTATGTACATTTTATACGTAGAAATGACGTTTTAGCCCCCACTCCTAAACTTTGATTCGTTTTATATAAGTATCGTTTTTCTATACGACAAAAGAAAAAAATACGAGTCTAATATTTTTTCATTACCTAACTGACGGACTAATTACATTTTTAATTTTAATAGCCTGCCATCATCCCTATTATACTGAACATTAAACCCAATACACATGAGGGGAATTTGAACCTCAGTTCAAAAGTTAAACTTGAAATCACACTACCCACAAGACCCACAGTCAATATCTAAACCAAAGAAGTAAATAGTAGCGACTGTATGCTTGATGACAGTGATGCATTAGAGCTCGCGGGCTCAAAGTAAACAACAATTATTTGATGTTGACTGTACCAATGGGAATCGTTGAAAAACCGTAAGATATAATATCGTTCGATAGTCACATGGGGTCTCTGAGTTCGACTAAGTATTTTAAGGACTAAGATTTAAGTGTGGGAGAGTTTGCTTCGGCACGAATGGGCCGGCTCGACCGGAGTGATACCACGGCCTCACAGAAAACCGACGTGAAGCAACGCTTGCGTTGTGTTTAGACACGACTAAGATTGAGGTTACTGGAGACTCAATTACCCCCTCCCCAGTGTCCCCAATCCCCGAATCCCCCACAATCCTCAAATTCCTAATTCCCAAAAGGCCAGTAACGCACGTTTTTCGGGTGTCCATGAGCGATGCCGATTGCTTACCATCAGGGGATCCGTGTGTTCGTTTACCGGCTTATCCCATAAAAGTATGTTGAGATTTTCCAGAATTTTTCGATAAATCTTGAGTCTGATATTGTAACTGGGGGAAATAGAATTGGATTTCATATTAGGTAAAATCCATAATATAAGTAACGGAGCCGAGGAAGGTCTAACGGGTTACCGGGGCACTGGCTTGAAAACCAGGATAGGAACGGGATGGTTTTAGTCAGCTAGAGTTTGACATTCCCTCTCGCCTCAACCACGGCGGGACAACCCATTGAATGATTTTTCCCCTCAAAAAAATTATTAATAAATATTCGTGTGCGTCTTTTAAATTAAAAGTTAAGTTAAAGCCTATTCTTTTTAATAATCTTCCTTAAAAAAAATCCTAAAATGAAAAGTCTTGTTAAAATCAGTCCAGCCATTTCAGAGATCAGCCAGTACAAACAGACAGACAGACAAATTTTACAAAAGTGTTATTATGGTATGTGTATCGTATGTATATTCATATGCATGCAGTAAAAAGCGGTTAAATCATTATTACAAACAGACAATACAATTTTATTTATATGTATAGATATAGATTATGTACCTTAGTTAACAATATCTCTTTAACACCTTGAACGCCATGGGGGACAAGATATGGGCCACGCTAGCGGAGGATTTACCTTCAACTGTTTTCTGTCGGCAGTCAAAGCCTTGAGCGAGATAGAAAAATCATAGTAGGTCATACATCAAATAAAATAACAATTTTAAAAGACTTCTGCCCACCCTGCCCCTAAACACGCGTAAACTGATGTAATTCATTACCGTGACCTACTGAAATCCTTTGAAAAATAATGAATAGAATTTTTTGGTAACAAGATACCATCGGGTCGGTTATAAACAAAAATTTACAATTTAATCTAAATCTGGTTATCTTTATATAAAAAAGGATACTTTTTATACTATTTAATTATATATATATGTATAAACATAAGATAACATCACGCCTTTTATCCTCGAAGAGGTAGGCACAGGTGCACAGTATGCCACTGTATAATGTAACACACTTTTCACTATTTATGTTATGAGTCCTATGTAATAGGGAGTGAGCCTATTGCCATATACCGGGCACAGCACTGAGAATTTTTAAAATACCCGGTAATACTTTGCCCGACCCGGGAATCGAATCCGAGACCCTTTGCCCGGCAGTCGCACTTGCAACCACTCGGCCAACAAGGCAGTCTTCTATATATTATGTATAAAATGTTAATATTTTTAAGAACACAAAAAATGGCGATGTTTTGATTGTTTTTTTTTATGGAATAAACCGGTAAACGAACAGACGGATCACCTGATGGTAAGCAATCGGCGTCGCCCATCATGGACTCATGGAACACCAGAGGTATTACAAGTGAGTTACCAGCTTTTTGGTAATTAGGAATTTAAGAATTCGGAGATTTGGGGAGGGCGGTGAAACACAACATAAGTGTTGCTTCACGTTGGTTTTCTGCTCGGCCGTGGTATGACACCGGTCGAGCCGGCCCATTCGTGCGCAAGCATGGCTCTCCCACACTCAAAATGAATTAATGTAAAAATCTTACTAAATTATGTAACTAGAGAATTGTATTGTGAACCTGATTGAAAAAAAATATCAATAGAGTAGTTTCTATTTGGTCCAAACCAAACCGACCAAATAGCTTCACTTTAAATTTTTTATTGACGTTCAAAGGTGCCTTTCTTGTGTAATTGAAATAAATGATTTTGACTATGACTTTGACTTTGACAATTCGACCAACTGCAATGAGACGGTGTATGTATGGCAAATTGGTAATATTACAATTGTCTTTTATTTTAATACTTACATCGACATTTAAAATTGGTCCACTACTCCTCATTCAGTCACATAATTATATCGTCCTTGATGACAATTGAAGATAAAAGCAATGAAGCCCTCAGCCCTTCGTGCTGAAGCATGACTCTCTTACACTTAGTTCACACTTCACACTTCTTAGTTCACACTTCAATATAGGTATTTTTTCCTTAATTATTATATGTTTCGGATTATTCGCGTAACTCTGTTTAACAAGGAACTCGACTAGTTATAAATTCATAAACCAAAATTAATGGCAGGTGTCTCACGAAGGTTCTTTTTTATATATTTGACGGACCGACGTTTGCCCACTATCTCGCCTGGTGTAAGCGATGATGCGGTCTACGATGGAGCACGTCGTCCCATAAATAACCTATTTACTCGGGCCTTGAAGACACCGAGGTACTCTTCAGAAAACACAGACTCTGGCTAAGAATTCCACTCCTTAGCAGGTTAAGTTATAGAGGTATTATAAACTTAATTATTTCTTTTCGTTTCGTAATTTCTTGTTAAATATTTTGGACTTTATTTTCCATGTAATAAAACGCAATAGTTCCTTTTACTATAGATCTGAAAACTGGTAATCATTTTCAACACTATGTTGCTATGTTAAAAAAAATTGTATTGTAAAACTGATTGGAAAAGAGTAACCTATGGAGTTTCTTGCTCGTTCTTCTCCGTAGGAATCTACATCTTGGAATCAGCAACTAGCTTCAGAGAGGACAGACCGACAGACTGACACATTTTATCTTGTTTGACGTTAAAAAGTACCTTATTTAATTACATTATTACATTAATAAACAAATGAACTAGTTATTTTAGTTTTTTTTAAGGGGGGAAAATCATCGAATGACTGCTCCCGCCTGGGTGAGGCGGGAGGGAGTGTCAAACTCTTACTGACTAAAAACCACCTCGTTCCTTCTCCTGCACGTCGAGCCGGAGCCCCGGTAACCCGTTGGGTTCTCCGCGACTTTATTATACGGTTAAGAAGAACATTGTGATGAAAATCAGACTTATAATTTTAATTTATAGGTTTATTTTACTTATGCGCATTGAGCAAGCGTGATGATTAATGATATTTTAAAACAATCCTCACTATAATATTATAAATCGGAAAGTGAGTTTGTTTGTTAGTTTGTTCCGCTTTCACGCCATAACTACTAAACCGATTGCTTTGAATTTTTGAAGATGTATAGTTAGAAGTCCGGATTAAATAATAGGGTACTTTTTATCCCGAAAACGTTTGATATTCCCGAGGGAAAACGAAATTATTGGTATAAATGGCGCTGTGTGTATTGGTAAATGTCACATTGGCTTTTTATCATTTTGTGACGCGAGCGAAGCCGCGGGTAAAAGCTAGTAAAATATAAAAGGTTTTCCTAAAAAAAGTATAATAGATAATATACTATACATTTTTATTATTTTTATCAACAACCGAAATACGATAATTATTAAACATACGCCTTTAATATGAATTTTTCAAAGATCCATTGCTGATAGACCTTATTCTTATTATCAAGTTTTTCAGAATTGGAGATTATTGCAGTTAAGTCCATGTTTGGCAGGTTCGGGGATTGCAGTTAGGTCATCGAAATTTTACGCATTTGACGTTCTTCAGTGGATGGTCGCAGTTTTATGACCTAATAGGGACCCGCCCCGGCTTCGCACGGGTGCAATATGCATGTATTATATATAAATCTTGCTTAAGAATCACTCTATCTATTTAAAAAAACCGCATCAAAATCCGTTGCGTAGTTTTAAAGATCTAAGCATACATAGGGACAGACAGACGGCGTATCGCGAGTTTGTTTTGGCGGATACTATGTAGTAATAATAGTAATAATAGGTAGTAATAATATGTACCAATAATAGGCATTTTTAATTTATTGCTGGTTTTAGACATAATTACATAATAACAAGAAATAAAAAAAAATAAATTTCAGTAAAAAGAAAATTGGTGAACATATTCCGCTGAATCAAAATCCTTCTATTGTGTTTGTTAATTTTATACCTCAATAATATTTATTCGGATAATCATATTTTCCACTAAATGAGCAACGCTACATTATCATTAGATACGCTATTATATAATTTTCCATAATATATTTTAAATCCAATCCACGTGCTATTTAAGATAATGTCACTTCACAAAATAATATTTAAAATGAATAAACAATTAACCAACTCTGTCCCATGTACAAAATAAATGATAAACTAAAATTTATTTATGTCAATTTAAATGAAAATAAACAACAATAATAAATAAAATAAACAGACTGATAAAATAAATTTATAAAAACTTACGTTTTTAAATTGCCACAGGCACTGTGTTTCAAGTAACTACTGATGCACAGGGTGCGTCGTAACTGTCCGTTGGCAGGCAACTGTTACCTTTTATATAGGGGGTGTAGCGCCGAGAAGCGTTAGGATGAGAACGCGTTGATGAGCGGAGCGGGTAATAAAGCAATATCGTGAACATTGAACATCGTTTACTAGTTGACATTGGATTACATTTATTCACATAAAATTGTTTAAAGAAATAAATTAATCCTACTAATATCGTAAATGCGAAAGATTGCATTTTTTATTGTTTGTTTGAATGTTACTCCTTCCCGTCAAAATGGCTAAAGGGATCGACATGAAATTGGGGACTGGGATAGATTATGTTTTATGCTTTTTTTTAACTTTGCCTCACACTGGGATTTTCTCCTGTGTCGTGGGTGCGTTTACAAATTACAAGTTTAAATACACATGACACCCAGACCCAGACTCAAAGAGTTGTTCCGTGCAGGAATCGAACCCGCTACACGTTGCGTGGCAGCTAGTTGACCAGCCACCGCGCCAACCGTGCAATCATTTATGTTCTGGCATAACACATAGGCCACTTTTTATTCTACGTGGACACCAGCAAAGCCGATGGCAGATGCTAGTCATACATATTTCTTTTATTTCTATAGTTATAGTTTTTAAGTGTGGGAGAGCCATACTTCGGCACGAATGGGTCGGCTCGACCGGAGTGATACCACGGCCTTATAGAAGATCGACGTGAAGCAACGCTTGCGTTGTGTTTCGTCGTGTGAGTGAGGTTACCGAAGGCCCAATTACCCTCCCCTTCCCCAATCCAATCCCTGAATCCCCAACGATCCTCAAACTCCTAATCCCCTAAACGCCGGTAACGTCCTTGTAACGCCTCTCGACGTGCAGGAGTAGGAACGGGGTGGTTTTTAGTCAGTAAGAGTCTGACACTCCCTTCCGCCTCACCCAGGCGGGAGCAGTCATTCGATGATTTCCCCCCCTTAAAAAAAAAACGCCTCTGGTGTTCCAGGTGTACATGGGCGACGCCGATTGCTTACCATCAGGTGATCCATCTGCTCGTTTACCGGCTTATGCCATAAAAAGACGGTTCCTTTTTTTTCTCTTATTATTTCAAATGCAATAGGACTAATTATTTTAATATCCGTCTGGTTGGTAGATTATTATAAAACATTAAACACGTATTTTTTATTTTTTTACAAAAACCAATTCTTTCGACGATATGTTGATTTGAAATATCCGACATCATTGATGTCGAAAATATATACAAGATTTGTTCGTTTCATTGGATAGATATAAGCGTGACGTTTGATTACTCGAAGTAGGCAGAGATGTAATTTTTAATATGAATGTTTCAACAGTTATTTTATCATTCCTATAATTATTACCCATCGTAAGTATTGGTCGGCTCCGTAATCAACCAAAGAAAGTCTAGTCTAGAAAGGTAGAGTAGTAAGTCTCTTTTAATTTTTTTACCAACCAACTTGCCTGGCTTTAAGGACTTCCAGTGTTTGAAAGATAGAAAGATGTGATATAGCGATATGTTGTTTTTTGAAAACCTCTACCGCCTGTCACTCTAGCACCACCACAAGTAGGATGTCAGAACTAGATCAACACACATTTGCGAAGACTTTTAATAGATTTTCCGGGTTTTAAACTTCAAATTGTTGATCATTATCTGTTATGTGTATTATATTTATTATCTAAATATTATTTTTATTTAATAATACGCCGTAGTTGTTGATTTTATATAATAATTGATACAGTTGTGTTATTTAAGTTGGTGTGTGAGGTAGGAGGGTGTGATATACATATGTGAAGGAGTTATGTAGTTTTTGTTTTAAAACATTATTATATTAGTGATAGTTCCTAATTTACATGGATTGAAATCGGTGGTTAGTTGTGTTGTGAATAAAATTATTCATTGTTTTAACTCGTCGAGTACCGTCATTATAGACACAATTATAGAACAATAGGTTGCGGTCACCGGTGACCGCTTGGTGTTTGACAGTTTAAGGGACGTATTATTATATGTATATTGGGTTATAAAATACTTTATTTTAGTCTGTAATGTTAGGTAAATATCTATGGGCCATAACATAACATACATCATCATGTCTTTTATACCCGAAGGGGTAAGCAGAGGTGCACGTTACGGCACTTAATGCTACTGTACAATGTAACACCCATTTTTCACTATTTATGTTATGAGTCCCATGTAATAGGGGGTGAGTATTGAGAACCATGGGCAATAGTTGCCTGAAAATAAAGTATTAAAAAAATAAAAAAGATTAATATTTTATTAATGATATTTGTGAACTTTCCGGTATTACGTACGTACCTACGTACTTCATAGTTTGTATGATGTAGATAATAATATGATATAGTAGTTAGTTTTCTTTATTTTTATTTTTTTTTTTTGCTAAAAACTTATGTCAATTTACTTTGTCGCATTAGACCTAGTCTGTAATGACAATTGTAAATAAATAAATAAATAAATAAAGTATTATGATAAAAGGCTCTACTATTATATTATTGTAATAAATATTGTAGTTAATTGCGTATTATTATCCTGTATTTACTCTTTTTAGATTTATTTTTAATGTTTGGGTCTGCCTCATTGGCCAAGTGGCCGCAAGTGCGACTGCCGGACAAAGGGTTCGGATACTAGGTCGGGTAAAGTATTATTGGATATTCAAAAAAAAGTCTTTGTAGTAACACAGAGTCTGGAAATGTTGGCGTTAAATGGCAATAGGCTCAACCCCTATTACATGGGATTCATAACATAAATAGTGAAAAGTGAGTGTTACATTGTACAGTGGCATTAATCGCCGAACCATGCTCCTCTGCCTACCCCTTCGGGGATAAAAAGGCGTGATGTTACGTTGTAAAATTAACGGTTCCATAATGATATTACGTCACATTATACGATTTTTACAAAACACGTGTAAGACCATGTGGTTGGTGCCAACGTTTGCGATCAGATCGACGATAGTTTGAAATCTATGAGTCAATTTTGTTTAAAAAATATTGAATCTATACAGATAAATAAAATTGGAATGTCTGTTTGTAATAGTGAAATAACCACTACTGTCTGTTGTCTGTCTATCTGTTTGTACTAGCTAAACTCTGAAATGGCTGATCTTTTTATTCTTTTTAAGGGGGGAAAAATCATTGAATGGCTGCTCCCGCCTGGGTGAGGCGGGAGGGAGCGTCAGACTCTTACTGACTAAAAACCACCCCGTTCCTTCTCCTGCACGTCGAGCCGGAGCCCCGGTTACCCGTTAGGTTCTCCGCGAATCCTAATCGGCATCAGCTCTGTTGGGCCCCGTCCGTGGAGGTCTGATGGCTCTTTGAGGCGCGCGCTGAACGCGACGCACCGTACGCTCGGGTCTGTTTCTGGTCGGACGGGGAGCCCCCCATGCTTGCCGTAGTTGCGGGTACAGTTAGATAAAATTAGCTTAGCTTAGTAGGTGTTTAGTCAGTAAGAGCCTGACGAGTGTCAGACTCTTACTGACTAAAAACCACCTCCCGCCTCACCCAGGCGGGAGCAGTCATTCGATGATTTCCCCCCTAAAAAAAATATCTCAGTAGATATGCCTTTTATCATCGAAATATCTTTTCGCTGGTGGCTTCGCCCTCGTGGGGTATAGAAATTTTTCCTTCAGTAGTATTTTCATTCTGTAGAAATATGGCTATAAAAAGTAGCTCGTGTAGGTAATTCCCTAAAAAATAAGCTTTCATGCTGTAAATACAATTGTTATATCGTTGTAATAGTTTCAGAGCCTATTCAATTCAAGTAAACAATCAAATCATTTCTCTTAAAGAACTACATTTTTACAGTTCCATTGTATTAACTCGTTGAGCACCGTCATTATAGACACTATTAAAGAACAATAGGTTGCGGTCACAGGTGTCCTCGCGGTGTTTGACAGTTTAAAAGTAAGTCTTCATTACAAGTTAATATATCGACGAGATAGACAGACACGCACTTCTTCAATAGGTATATCATCCACTTCTTTCTTGGGGAACTGTAAAATGGACATTTCTAAAATTTCTATTACAGCACCTGGGGGCTTACTCTTGAATCCAATTCCGATCGATCGACATTGACATTGTGAAATTTCGTACTCTGGAGTTGCAACACTAGCGCCCATTGCATTCGTATTGCGTGGATATTGAATGAACTAAATAGTATTGACTTTGGATTTATATTTCGTACTCTGAATGCTATTGTAACAGCTACGGTAGGGGTTGTATAGTTTTGACATTGAATCATTATTGAGATTTTATTAGATTGAAATTGCATTGACATTGAGATTGGTTTTAAGAGTAACCTGAGAGCACCCTGGTCCAAATTTGTGCCCGGCTTATGGCGATGGACTCTCCCTCTATAACATGGGACTCATAACATGGTGTAAAGTTGGTGTTACATTGTAGAACGTCGTGTTTCACTTGCATTTCACATCACATCGACAACCTTTAAGTGGTCATTGCTGACCAAAGGCCTCTTCTTACACGGAGTAGGTTTAAGCATTAATCACCGCGCTTGCTCAATGCTGGTTGACGATTTCAAACGTATAATTAGAAATTATAAAGCCCAGGTTTCCTCACGATGTTTTCATTCACCGCTTGTCAGTGGTGTCTAAATATTCTTAAAAAGTACATACCTATAACTCGGAAAAAGTTACTTTGGTATTTGCCGTTGGTAGGTTTCGAATCTGCAGGCTTGTGCATGATAAGCGGGCGTCTTAAGCCTCCAGGCCGACATATACATAGGAACTTGATTTTGCAATCAGATAAAAACTAAATTTGACAAACGTATGACTCAGGGAAATCGGGAAGTCTGACAAAATATGATCAAAATATTATTTATTTTAATGTCCATAACAAAATATTTAATCAGGGAGGCCATCTTGTGTATAAAGAGAAATAAATATTATATTTTTATATGAATTATAATATTTAATCGATATGTACATCCTGTGCTATCGATCGCAATGTTTGTTTGACGTCAAATTCGTGTTTTGTAATTCTTATGT